GGTTGCATGGAGAGCCGCGCAGGCCAGAACCCGCGAGCAGGCGGATAGAGAAGCGGCTAGCGAGGTCCGGGAATGGGCTAAGCCCATCCCCCAAACGGAATACATGGCTATGCGCCAGTCCTTCTCACAGAAGTTTGGCGAGCCCGAGGATAAGCATATTCCGGCTAAGGAATATATTGAGCGAAAGCTGCACGAGCTAGAGACGGGCGAGTTCAGGGCGGAGCCCCTGAACGAGGTGCTGTCCAGAGACGAGATAGACCCGGATGTGCTAGTTCCCCAGTGGGATAGCAAGGGCACCGCCCTCGTGCTCAAGAAGGCTACCTCGAAAGGGGCGATGCCATCCGGACCGGAGCAGCTACGGCTACGGCTAACAGTCATGCAAAATGCCCTTCTCATGATAGGTCTCCAGCATCCAGGGCGAGCTGAACTCAAGGATATCGACTTCCAGCTCTTTGAGAAATACAAAGACTATCTGCTCGGCGACTTTTGCTATGGGCTACGGTCCAACGAGGCTAGCGGAAGTCTTGCTCCCCCGTGGACCCTGGTGCTATCCTACGAGAACGCTATCCGGAAACAGGCCTACAAGCAGATGGTCCTCAAAGGGATAGCCTTTGCGGACGCGCTAGTCCAGTCTTGGAAGGACGCGGCTACCAAGGAGCGGCACTTCACAACTCCGTTGTCCCTTTGTGCTAAAAGGCCGCAGCCCTGGAACTGGGATAGCACCAACACCCCGCCGGCTAAGCCCAACAAGAAGGGCAAGGGCAGAGGCAAGGGCAAGGACGGCAAGGATAGCAACAAGAAGGCTAAGACCGCTACCTTCCACCGCACCGAGGATGACAAGCCGATATGTTTTCGATTTAATCTGAAAGGTGGCTGCAAGAAGGGGGATAAGTGCCACTTCGTGCATGTTTGCACGAAGTGTCGGGGACCGCATTCGGCTATCAACTGCCCCGGCACGGCTACGCCGTCGACGTCGACAGCGGCCAACTGACTACCGGTGCCTGAGCCGGCTACTTCGGCTACACCTGAGGCGACACCGGCACACCGGCGGCTACAGGCTCTCTACCTCTTCTCGGGAAGAGAAAGGCTAGGCAGCTTCCAAAGCCACCTCCGCCGGCTAGTTTCTTCCTTCGAGCGCGACATCGATATCTCTTGTGTGGATCTGGCGAGAAGCCCACCCATTGATCTGGCTACTTCCAAGGAGAGGGCGAAGTACCTTCACAAAGTTCAATCGGGCCACTACGACATCGTGGCTATGTCTCCCCCGGTGGCGACGTTCTCTAGGGCGAGCTCGGCTAACCGTAAAGGTCCCCGGCCAGTCCGAAGCTTCGACGAGCCCAGAGGATTGGCTACTCTCACGGCCAAGGAAAGAGACCGGGCTATTCTTGGCAACATTTTTGCTGATTTTTCTTTTGAAATAGCTAGTGCTGCGGCTTCCTCGGCTACCTTCTTCGTCCTGGAGCAGCCAGAAGACTTGGGGGCTATGCCGGCTGGCCCCCACAAAGGCCGGCGACCGGCCAGCATGTGGCAATGGGAGGCTCATGAACGGCTAATTGGCCTTGGGCTACGTTCGGTGGCCCTGCACCTGGATAACTTCGGGGCACCCTCGGCGAAACCGACACGACTGCTACTGAAGACACCTCTGGAGATGCCGGCTACCGTGCACGAAGGCCTCCCCACCTTCGACAACAAGGGCTACTACTTGGGCCCCTTGCCGAAAGCGGCTACCTCATCGACGCCGCAGAGCCCCATGCTGGCTAAGGAGACGCTTGGCGAGTGGCCCTCCAACTTCTGCCGATGGCTAGCACAGTTGGCCCTGGCAACCTGCACGGCTACTGCTCCGACTGCCTCCGGAGAGGGGGTACCGACTGTGCAGGATAAGGCAAGCTCTGGCGACCTCGACTATGTTACAAACCAACCAGAGGGCCCACGGCTACATGGTGGCACGGGACCCCCCCGCCGATGCCATCAAAACGACGGGATAAAGGAATTCCACGACGGTGGCGGGCTATGCTCTCCTGGGCGATGGCCCCGACACTCTCGTGGACATGCCGCGGGCGAATCCTGGGACTGGCTGAGGGCTAAGATCCGGGAAATGGTCACCAGGCGAGTGGGATCCGAGAACGAGCTAGAAAAGGAGGCCTTCCGAATGGCTATGGGAGGCGAGTCGGCCTGCAAGTTCGTCCGGGATAGCCAACTACACGAAGAGCTACTGCAACTCCTGCAAGTTTGGATAGAAGGTCAGGACCTCAGTGAACCTGGCCTACTGGATATTCCTCCTGGGCAGCCCCTCCGTCTTCGGCTACTTCGTGCTATCCTCGAGGCGGCTGGCGACCCGGATAGGGACTTCCTCCGTCGGGCCGAGGAGGGACTCCCACTTGGGATATTGGAGGGGCTACCCAGAACACCGCACGTGTTCGAGGAGCAATCCTCTTGGAGGCTAGACAACGCCCCTTGGGAGCCGGCGCTAGCATGGGTTCCGAATTATTCTTCGGTTAGCGACCACAGGGACTTTGTGCGGGCTAAGTTCGACGAGGACGTCGAGGAAGGCCTCATGGAGAGAATGACCCTCGGCGAGTTCAAGGCGAGGTTCGGCGAGGACCGGGCTATCGCCTCCCTGGCCGTGATAGTCGAGGACGAGGAGAAGGACAAGAAGCGGATAATCCATGACGCGACCCACGGCGTCCGGGTTAACCACCGGATACGCTGTCGGGATAAGATCCGGGCGCCGGGGGCTAGAGAAAAGAAGCAAATCCTCCGAGAGCTGATACGCTGTGGCGAGATTGCCTTTTCGGTTGTGGGGGATATCTCGAAGGCCCACCGGAGATACAAACACCAGGCTAGCGGGCACGGCTTCATGGGCTGCCAGATAGACACCGCGGAGACGATCCCCGGGGACCCGGATAGCCGGATCGTCTACGTCAACAAGGTGGGCACGTTCGGACTCTCGCCGGCTAGCTACTGGTGGACCCGGATAGCCGCATGTGGGCTACGGGCAACCCATCATCTGTTGGGCCCCGGCTATCCCATCGACCTCCTGCTTTTTGCCGATGACCTCGAGGCCCTGGGGATAGGAACGGAGGGGAGGAAGGGTATCCCGTTGAGCGACCTTTTCCTCTCTGTTCTGGGATATCCTTTCAAGTGGGCGAAGACTCGTGGTGGCTATAGGGTGGAGTGGCTGGGAATGGAGACAGAGTACTCCTCCTACAGGCTAGGGATGTCCAAGAAACGGGCGTCCTGGCTATCGGCGTGGCTAAACGACAAGGTGACCATCGGCAAGGTCACGGCCAAGGAGATGCAGCAGGGGCTAGGTCGGCTGGGCTTTGCCGCGATAGCCTTGGACTGGCAGAGGCCCTTCTTAGGGCCGCTCCACGCGTGCAGCGCAGCCATTCAAGGGAAGTCCGGCTACCTCATCATTCCGACGATGCTCCGGGTGCTGATGCGGTGGCTAGCCGACAAGCTTGACCAAGGAGAGAGGCTACAGCGTCCAGTGACTCTCTACGCCGGGCTACCTCCACTGAGCTTTTTCACGGATGCCAAAGCTGAGTCCGATAGGGCCTGGATAGGGGGCTTCCTGGAGATTTCCGGAGGGAAGCCGGGTCCCTGGTTTTCCCCTAGAAGTGGATAGGGCCTGGGCTCCGTGGGCCTTTGCCAAAGGCGACCCCAAGAAAGTGATAGCTGCGCTAGAACTGCTAGCGACCCTCGTGGGGATACGTCTCTGGGTCCCCGAGGGCGAGGATAGGAAGACCTCGCGAGTGGCCATCCGCGGCGGAGAACAAGTCCAATGAGGCACTTGTGAAGAACTTTGGCTCGACAGTTAGCTCCACGCGCTCCAAAGTGGGCAACGTCTTAGGGTAGAAGCGGCTAAAACTGTCGGTGGGTAGGAAGGTGCAGGCAATGGCTCCTTCCTCTGGTGGTGCGTCCACCTCTCGACTTCGACTTCAGCGACGACTAAGGGTCATGGAGACCCATCTACACCACGACGACGGCTCAAGACTACCCCTTTGGCCGTGGGCCTGCAGGCCCTCAGAACCATGGCGCTGGCAGGACCAGCCAGGTGAAGTCCTTTCCTTGGGGGAAAGGCGCAATCCAAAGAATCGACGCTGCTTGGGAAGCGGCAACCGGGGTGCATCCGAAGCGCATGGTGGCGATGGTGATGCAAATGTGATGAAAGCCATCTCCTCTTTGGTAGGCTTCATAGTGGCTAGACGTGCTGCCAACTTGGCTGTTGCACGTGTGGCTCAGCAACGCATGTTGGCCTTGGGTGTTGGTCCAAGCATGCCATGGTTTTGTGAGGGCGAGTTCGGTGTACTGCTTGGGTTAGCAGATATACCGGACCAAGCAATCAGCGCGTGTGAGGCGGCGGCTCTTAGCTGCGGCGGTGCAATCAGCGCTTGTGAGGCAATCAGCGCGTGTGAGGCGGCGGCTGCGGCAACCAGTGCTTGTGATGCGACGGCTGGTGGCGGCGGAGCCTCAGACGGTGCAGACGGGGTTGCGGCTGATGCCGGCTGGGCCCGCGGCACTGCGCTTCAAGGTGACAGTGACGCCTTTTGTTCCGAGGAACCTGGTTGGGTGTCATGAGGCTGACGGCGGTGGCGCAATCAGCGCAAGTGTTGGCGCTGACTGTGGCAGTAACGCTCTTGTTCCGAGGAACCTGGCTGGGTGTCATGACGCTAACGACGGTGGCGCAATCAGCGCATGTGTTGACGCTGGCTGTCGAACTGTTTGTGCCTGTGGCGCCTGTCAGGTTGATGAATCCACGGCTTTCGCGGACAATCGCTGCAACTTCAGCCTTGCCGAGGTCGTGCACAGTGAGAGGCTCAGGGTTTGCTCCCCCAACGGGCCCCCCCAAGGGCCCGAAACAAGATCCGCTCCAGGACCAAAATGCAGTTGTGACGGGCCTACCCCTGAGCTCGAAAGAAGACCCGCTGAAGGGCAAAAATACCATGTAGTGTCTGCTTCTGTCTCTCTTCGGGGGCCCTGCTGGGCCGATGGGCGAGGTGACGCAATCAGCGCAGGTGAGGTGGCGGCCGCTGCAATCAGCGCTTGTGGTGAGGCGACCGGTGGTAGTGGGGCCACCGATGAGGCCTACGCCGTTGCTGCTGTCGGCCGTGCTTGTGGCATTGATGCCGAGGGCGGCAGGGTTGCCACGTGTGCCTGCAAAGCTATCGCCGGCAAAGGTGACTGTCAGGAGATTGCCGCAATCAGTGCTTGCGACCTTGAAATCACCAGGCTACAGCTGTCTTCGAGAGCGGCGATGGCAATCTCAGGGTCGGCCACCGCTGCGCGCGAGGCAGGTGCAATCAGTGCTTGTGAGGCTGCTGACGCCCGAAATGGTGGCGGTGGCGGCGCAATCAGTGCTAGTGAGAGTGCCGCGTGTAACAGTGAAGGCACTAACTTTGTCCGCCATGAGCTCGCTGCCAGGGCCGACGACTGTTGTGATTTCGACCTCGACGAGTTCGTGCCTGGTGAGCGGTTTAGGTTTTGCTCCCCAGACGGGCCCACCCAAGGGCTCGAAACAAGATCCGTTCAAGGACCAAGATGCAGTTGTGACGGGCCCGTCCCAGAGCTCGAAAGAAGACCCGCTGAAGGGCAAAGATCTCACTTGATGAGCTCCCGAGTCCCTCTATGTAGCCCTACTTGGGCTCCCCAGGTCCTCCCTGCCTCGCAGTGCCTTCGCCATGGAATTG